TACCTCTCTAGAGACAAACATGGCCTTTTAGACTACCTTGCGTCAAGTTCTAGAATTAATGTTATACCTACCCTGTACTACACTTCATATTTTGAAAAATAGAAACCACCAACTTACGCTTTTTATCACCAAGTTTCGTTTGGAATGTAAAATTAATTTGATTCATAAATCTACATATCTAGATATCAGCAACAATGTAGTAATATAAAACAAGATGCAACACATTTTGGCTAGAATATTATGTTAAAAAATGTTTTACAATTATTACACAGTTGGAAAGTATTTTGATATTTCCCCTCCTTGTAGATAAAAAATTAAATTGCACAATTCAGAATTCTCCATTGTAAGTAATGCCAAAGGTGATCAAAATGACGTATTATCTTTATTACGCGTTTAATTATTATATGTCTGGAATTTCCGACATAATAGAACATTCTCATAACTTAACATAGTCATTATGAACATGCTATTTACGTTTTCTTATTCGTTTGTTAAATAAAGCTCCTTACAGCTTAAAGACAGTGAAAAGAACTATGCAGAACATTGTACTAACACAAGAGTGAAGACAATTTAATCAGATCATTACATTTTGAATTTCCCCACAAATTGTTTTCCAAGCAATTTACTCTTATGATCACTAATTGCCACTTCACATTTTAAAAATTGTTTCTGAAAGTAATATTTGTCGCAATTATGTAAAAAGGCAATACATTTTCAGCAAACGTCACTGTTTTGTAGTAATAATAAATATGACAATCGATATATTCCGGATTAGAATGAAAACAAAATGTATACCTATCATCACACGTGTTCACTTTAACATTCATTCAGATTCCTGCTCTCAATGATGAAAAGTTTTCTCTCTTATAAAAGCCTAGAAGACTCAAAAGCCAACGAGCAACGAGCTTATATTTGACGCAAACATGATACCGGATAAATTTATGTAGATTATGGAAATTCTAGATGCGGAATGTTTCGAAACAAATATGACAAAGTTTTTGGGCATGCATCGACGATGATTTTTTTTGAACAATTAGTACAAAATGTCATAAAACGAGGTTACACATATGGCATTTTGTACATGTCGCCTTGATTGGTAGGCAACCCACACGCCACCGGCGCTTAGAAGATACACAAACCCATTCAAGCTTCCTCGCTACTCTCCCCGGCTTCTCTGAGAAGTCTCAAACAGGCACTCAGCCTTTGCCCGTAGAATTTGACGAATTTGACTTACCACATATTCACAGATGAGGATCTCGAAATCGTTTTGATTTTGATGTCACTACCGTTGGAAATTTTCATCTATACAATTTCTTTATTGTGCTGGATTGGTGGTCATTTCAAACCTGTTTTAATTTCCTACGGTTACTGTGATAATGGCATTCAAAGTACATTTTTCGTGCTTGCATAACAGTCTTTCATGTCAGGTAGCAACCTGTTTAAAAACGTACGCAAAAACAGTAGCATTACATTCAAGTGTTTCAATAGCCTTCACTACACCAACATTTTATGCCCTCCTTCTTGTACAAACGTTTCCAGCGAATTACGCTGGGTAAAAACATGAGAAAAAACTACGAATTGTACTTAACAACTGCTCGCCTGTGTAACCCAAGTACCAATTGATTGTCTTTGTAACCCTGCTGAAGCTTGGCTTTGTGTGCACTGTGTCTGACGGCCACCCGCGCACCCGCCCCTTCCTCCTGCCCCAGCCCACCGCCCATCGCCCCGCGCCCACCGCCGCTTTGCTCGCTTTGTGGAGCTGCCTCTTGTTGTCTGCACGCGCGCGAGGCCAGGGCACAGACTGCGTCGCGTCGCAGCGCGTCGCGGCGCTCGCGCGCTGGGCGAACGCGAGGACGAGAGAGAGCGAGAGACAGGCCCTCGACGCGTCGTCACAGCACGTTCGGCTCGAGCGGTCGAGCGCGCTCGAAGTCCACTGCGTGATCGCACGCTCGGCCGATCCAAGCAGCCGCCGCACGCCGACGCCCGCCTGAGGAGAGAGGCGACACGACTGCCGGCCCCCTTTAAACACAATCTCGTTTTGTTTCTGCGCGAGGCGTGCAGTAACATTCGTATGAAGCCGTATAGACGTCGTGTGAAGTCGTACATACTCTCGTACTGTGACGACCTCAGTGTCGCGTTGTGTCGAGTGTCGGAGGAAAGATTCGACACTACAACACTCGCTTCCAACAAACGACCCGTTTAAAGTCGGCTCCTTTCACACTGTCACCCTATTCTCTCCTTGCACGCTCAAGTGTCAGGGAGAGAGACAGAGATAGAGCGAGAGAGAGAGTGTGTGTGAGAGACAGAGAGAGTAGATCGTCCTTCGTGCCTTTCTACGCACCTCTGAGTTCGACCTCCTCCGAATCAGCGCCTATGTTTCCTTGCACCGACAGCGCAACCTCGCTACGGGCACATCCAAGCCCTTTCGTACTTCTCTGTGCTCAACCCATTCCAATGGACTCAACACGGTAAACACAGTACCACTCTGTATTTCAATCTGTGCCTATGTTTGCCTATGGGTAGAGGCAACCCGACCGCAATCAAGTTCTCTTGAAACACAACCTTGTTTGGTACCTGCACTATGTGTACAGTCACGTTCGCACACTTACATGGTCACAACCTTCAGACTTCTCTCCATTGCAACGAGTTCCTTTCAAGAACCGATTTTACGGGAAAATGTTCGGACTATAAGAATTAAAGGCAATACTTGAATATCCAGTGCATTCACAATATTGTCGTTTCAAATTTCATTGAACACAAATATTTTTACTTGAAAACCTAACATTACTTCTCTGAAAAAGAAATTCATTTAACAAATAACACGTACACCCGCATCTAAAATGAGAAGAAAAAGTAAATCTTTCAGAAATTTTCTCACTCTGAAAATAATTGTACAACGTATCTCCCAAATATTAAGAAGTTTGATTTGCTAAAATTGAATTGTAAGGGTATGTAATGATGATCATTCAGATATGCATGATTACATATTGAATAACATATTTCAATATATTTAATATATATAATAATTTCAATATATTTAATGTGATTTCGAATGCTTTGTAATTACTAACAGCATGTACCGAACATTTTCTTTGTTATCTTAAAATAACCTATAAATGTACGGTTGACTATTTTAATGTTTCCTGGATAAAAATGTTTCTCGTATTCTTTAGATCTGTTTCCTTAAATCCTAAAACTCTAATCCTTTTGCTTCCAAATGTCAACAAAATCAGCATTTAGAAAGCAATCCGGACAAATCTTTCCTTTCAACTCATCATGCCATTGATATTTCTCTTAAATTCCAATTCAGATACCTCGAAATATTTGGGTTAACTGAATATTGATTACATCAATATTCTCCAAACACATTCCTTTTCCCTTCGCATTTTATTGGTAATTCATATTATCAAAAAACTGATTTCTCATATATTTTCACACCTTCCCTCTGTTACCCGTTTTGAAATGCTGAGGATCTTTGTTTTGTAAGGAAAAGAGTCGCTTTGGCATTATTTTTATTTAACTAGACATCAGTAAGCAGAATATAAAACAAGACATGTGAACAGATTCCTTCCAGGTGTATTTTAATCAACTTATTCCACAATATAATTATTTCAATATCTTACAAAAATTTTGCAATAATTTTAATGAAAATAAGTTCCCTCACCAGAATTCTAAAGTAGTTCAATGTCATAAAAACACATTCGTGTTATATCATCGTTAAATGTCCATTATCATGCTGACAGGAAAAATATTACTGAATCACAAAATTGAAAACATGCTTTAATTAATTGGGGATGGTAAAATGACATTTGCTTTTCTGCATGCTTTAAAGGTATGTGGGATGGAAAAAAAATAATAGTCTAATTTTGAGACGAAAGTTCGACTTTGTTATCTTACCTACACAATAAAACAAAAAATTGCTTCTGAAATAATTCAAACATTTCGCTTGAATATAAATACGATAAAGATAAAATAATGAATTGGAATATGTTGAAATTCAGACTATTACTTTTACGAAAAACAAATCTTCATCTTGTTTTCTACCAATCTCAGAAGAACTCTAATTTTTCTCATCTCCCAGAACCCAATGCCCTTTACCACCTTTACATTACCATTACATTTATCCTACATCATAAAGAAGAATCTGTAGATCAAAGTACCTGCACCAGAATCGCTCTTTCTCTATCCGAGCTTACTCATCCGAACCAGACCCCGACTTCCAACTTGAGCCTTTGAAACCCTCTGTGAAAGCGCCCGAGCATAAGCTTCCGAACCTGAGCTACCAGACCTCAATCTCAAATCATAGCTTTAGTCCCTTGACTCGAGTGCAGAATTTGTAATTAGCAGCCCTGATCTCATTGACCGAACCTCCTGTCTCCTCTTCGAAATGACCTCTCCGGCAACACAAACAAGAGCGCCTGGGTCAATCCACATCTTAGCTCCCTGACCTGTGCCCATGGGCGTGAGTCCTCAGATCAGAGCTCTTGAACCTGAACCCTCGAGCCTGAGCCCTCAGACCTGAGCCCTTGGACCTCAGCCCTATATCTGAGTTCTGAAGCCTGAGCTCTCAAACCTGAGCCCTCAAACTTGAGTCTTCGAACCTGATCTCTCGGACCTGAGCATTCCGAATTGAGTCACCGGCCTTGAGCCCATGAACCTTAGCCCTCGAACCTAGGCCTTCGGACATGAGCTCTCGATTACGTGCCCTCGAACTTGAACCCTCGAACCTGTACCCTCGAACTTGATCCCTCGGCCCAGAGCCTTCCGAATTGAGTCAACGGCCCTGAGTCCTCGAACCTAAGCCCTCGAACCTTAGCCTCGAACCTTCGCCCTCGAACCTAGGCCTTCGGACCTGAACCCTCGAACCTGTGCCCTCGACCTTGACCCCTCGGCCCAGAGCCTTTGGAATTGAGAGAACGGCCCTGAGCCCTTGAGCTGGAGATGTGGAGCGCGTTGGGTCGCGCGCTGACCGGGCGGCTGCGGCGTTGGCGGCGGCGCAGCGTCCCTGGCGGAGCGCCTTCGCAACGCGGCGTCGGGGCGGCGCGCGCGAGCGGCTAGCGCGGCGGCGGCGCGGCAGCGGGCGGCCGGCAACCGGCGAGCAGCGTGGGCTGCGACGAGGTCTCCCACACCATGCACGAGCTCCTGCCGGCGGAGATGGTACGTGCACGGCCACCCCCCCACACACCCACCCCTCTCACCCACCCCATCGTCACCACCCACCAGAAACCCGGACGAGTTCTACCTCACTTCTGCTTTTATATTAATTCGTGTTACAACACTGTTTTTCTTTTGATGGAAAATATTTTACCAAGTAAATTAGCCTGTCAAGGCGAACATTCTGCAAAGAAAAAAAGAAATAACATAATAAAGGAATAGATAGATCTTAAATTTGTAATTAAATGAAACTTTGAAATAAAAAAAGTAAAGAAAGGAAACGTACACATTCAACATTTTCATTTACACTTTTTAAGTACCTATTTAAATTTAAATTGAAAGCAGTAAATCTCCTTCAATTCATTTTCAATACAAAAGACGTGTCAAATTTTTAAATGAGTAATCATCCATTTCTCTAGTTTGGGGGCTTCATAAGTTAAGAATCAACATCAGATGTGCCGTGCTTAGGTCTTTTTGCAAAATCTATTAGCAATATGTTTTTATGTCCACTGTAAGTCGTTTTTAATGCAAAGTTATTGAACTGACTAGAAGTTTAGCGTTCGATTTCGAGTAGGATGATGTCTTTTAAGTTTATTATGATGAAAGCGTCAACATTGATATTTTGCTACGCTTAATTCAATAAAAAAAATTATTTAAAAAAGATACATAAAAAGCAGAAGTGAGGTAGTTAGGTGCAAGTTCCCTTATTTTTTTCTCTCAAATTTCATTCCTTAATCCAACAGTGCACGCCATACAACACTTTACACTTTATCACAATTCAAGTAATATGATACTGTACTTAATCATGTAGGTTTTCATTTTCTTAGTTTTGGTTTCAAAGACAAGTTTTGAGCACATATATGATAGCTTAAAAGTATATTTTTCTTTTACACATCGGAATATATTAAAATGTGTGTGGCCATTGATAGATGCGTGATTTTCATTCTAAATATTTGAATGCAAAATATATTAATTATCAACGAGATTTTGAATCGCGAAAAGCACTGAAAATACTCTTAAACAGACCTAAATAAATCTGAATAAATAAAAATATGTTCCAATAAGATTTCTTTTGCAGTTAACATAGATTGGACTCCAATTTATAATTTACATGCGTGATCACAAACGCAACGGTAACAGCCATTGGTTCAGCGAACTCCACAAACTTGTTTGCAGCTAATGCAATGTTTTTACATTTCGTCATGATATACTCACTACTCAGTGCCCGCGTAAGCTTAAGTGGATTATTTTCTTTTTAATTACATTAAGTTAATGTTTACACTATACTCAGCGCAAATATTATACAAAAGCGGGCACCAATTATTGTAGAAGTTATCAAAATACAACATGTAAAATATTATTCGATCGTTCGTGAGCAATGTTTCATGATTTGCCTATTTAATCAATAAGAAAATTCTTTCGAATGATGATTAAAGATTGCAATACTCCTAAATATTATATACAGATTATATGGTGTTTGGACAAATAAATATACTCGTACAACAAATTTTAATTAAGTGAAACATTAATATAATAGTTTTAAATATAGCAAGGTTTTAAACCTATCAATGTAAATTAAAATATTGTTTTTAATGAACAGAATAACACATGTACATATAAAAGAAATGCCAAACAACATGGCAATTATAGCCTTACTTAAATTAGCCAACTTCTAAAATGTATTTCCATTCGTTTAATTTGTAATATTACGACGGAAACAAAAGATATTCCGAATACAATTAATTGTACGTCAGAAACAAATGCATAATTATTTGGCATTATAAATCGTACTTAAAAAATAAAAAACGGAATAGTAATTAAATTTCATATTAAAACGAAAATGTTAATTAACTCAAATGAGTTCTTCAAAAGAAAACAATCAAAATTAAAATTGATGTTAATGAAATAATTATATGATTTATATATTCACTGTTACGTTTCCTATTTCGAATTATTCATTGAAATGCCTACGAAAAAATACGTAGGAGATTTGTATTCTCATTTGTTGCAGAAAACACTTGAGTGAGTGTATTTTGCCATACGAAAGCCTCTAAATCAATAGTCCAGCAAATCATTTGTTTAACAGTTCTTATTTAATATTTACATAAAGTAAAATATTAAATATATAAGAAATGACACAAGAAAATTATATAGAAATATACATAATAAAGAAAATAAATTTTCATTACTGTATACTGTAATTTTGCTCGGTATGTTCAGGTATGTATTTTACTAAATGATGATCAAGTGAACATCTCAGGGTTTTCATAGCATTCAATGCTAAAGCGAAAAACTAGTAATCGTTCCCATAAACAAGTTCCAAAGAGTTCACTGCCTCAGATTCTCCCCGCCAGCTCTGCACCGCAAAGGCAATTCTGGCCCTTCATGAAAGCAAAGGACATGGCACAGTCAGCGCTCGCACTGCGCTTCCATGCTGACATCCTCTCCTTCCGGCTCTTGGAATCTGAAGGTGTCCCCTCTTCTGCGTCTTTATTCTTCTCCGTCTTTCTTCTTCTTCGGCCTACTTCTACTTCGTCTTTTTTATTCTTCTTTTTCTTCTTCCTCGCCTTTCTTCTTCTTAAGCCTCTTCTTCGCCTTTCTTCTTTTTCGGCCTTCTCCTTCATATTTGTCTTTTTTCTTCTTCTTCGGCCTCCTTTTTCGTCTTTGTTCTTCAGCCTTCTTCTTCGTACTTTTTCTTCTTATTTTTTCTTCTTCTTTCTTCTTTCTTCTTCTTCCTTCTTCTTTCTTCTTCGCCTCTCTTCTTCGTCTTTCTTCTTGCTTGATTTTTACTTTCCCACCTATTACGTGCGTTTAATGTGAAGAGAAATATAATTTAACGTAAAGTGGCGAATTTGGGTAGCAAAACTCCTATTGCGATTTCTTGATGCCGAAAAATTCTTCCTCTAATTATTTGTGTAGTGAAAATGCATTTTATGTGAGTCTATGAAACCTAACAAATTGGTTTACGGAAATTCGACTACCATCTGTGGTCAACACTAGCACGTAAACAGTTCAGACGATTTCCTCCAAAATTGGGATTCCCAGATGTACCTGAGTGAACTGGTTGTTTGCGCTACTTTACATGAAGCCTCCACCAATTTTCCAAAATGTTCTTAAAATAGTATCAAAGTTTTAGAAAACTTCTCTCGGATAGAGAAAAGTGCGCTTAAAAATTGCAAAGGTCTCATTTTTCGTGAACGAAAATAGCAACATTTTAAAATATTTTTGCCATCTTCCTACAACAACAATATTGTAGAGAATTTTTCCAAATATCTGTTCTTCAATATTAGATATTACTCAAATGACATGTAAAATCTCATAATTTTTGAAAATTGCAAATGCAAATGCTCAAACACATTTACAAGGCGTGGAGTTTACCTCGCTATTACGAAGGTCGGGAGACCGTACGCAGAGCAAAGTTTGAATCAGAGTTTAAATTTGCGTCTGGGACTGCGGGTGAGGGGACGGAGGAGGTCTGTGGAAGTTGTTTTTTGATTGAGAAGAGTTTCAAATGTTTGTTTACATTGGAAAATGTCTAAGGACGCGTTCCAAAATTATGTTCTATCAACATTCTCGTTTTCAAAGCAGTCATATTGTTTCCCATACTTTTTAAAGCTCGTGGAGACTATTTAATCATAAGAATTTTGGATTTATTAACGAAATATTTTTTCTACTTTTTGGTGTTAAAAGAACTTTGTTGGGTTCTATTTCATGTTCTTGGTAGCCATCACTTAAGGCTACGTTGCGTACTGTTCAGCAATGCCTAATATCACGTGCTCTTTGAAGGAAGTATACTATTTCGATAAAGCAGCAAACCTTTCTTACCCTTAGCCGTGCACTGCGCTGCAACTTAGTTGTCGTAGCAGTCTAATCCAGCTCTAGATACAATAATTTGCATTTACTATGACATCATCGTTGCTACATTCTTTGTGCCATTTAAATAGTGATAAATATGATTTAATCTTCTATTTACGTTTAATTAAGCTTTGGAAATTTTCACCTGAACTATGAAAAAATATTGTAATGTTAGCAAGGGAAACTGTCACATGTCTGTTAGCAATTATAACTTCAACCAATCTATGTTGATGCTGAGAAGCTTAATAAAAAATTAAATAATCAATAAATAAATGCAAACAATATTAACAAAAGTTCGAAACAGATTTTTTCTTTCCCTCTTCGCAACTGATTCTTCGCAATTGGTAGCAAATTGTTCATAGTGCTGGCGTTGCTTCTTGCTTTTGATGAATGAGTTCAGTACTAAGAACTGGTATATGTCTTCAAAGAAGAAAACACAGTTATTGAAGAAATTTATAATGATTGTTTTTTAACGAGAGAACTATTTATCACAGAGCTCTCAGACAATTAAGACAAATATGTTTCATATGCCGTCGTCCCTTCGAGATCAAATTCTTACATTTGCCTTTCATCACAATTAGTAAACCAAATTGCAAGGTTTATTTACAGGCTGTGCATCTGTTGTAAGCAGCGGAACTTGTTGTAACATCCGTCTCGTGCCACTAAATCAGAGATAACAAGGCTCTTTCTATTCCGAAGTTTAAATGGTAATCGTATGTTGCTGCATTGCAAAAACACACTACGCATGACATTCAAACGGCGTCCACTTAATTGTACATCATTAACTGGTAACATGGTTTTCGTACGGGCGATCCACTATGCAAAACCAAATGCCACTTCGTCACATTTGTTCTCCCACCGTGAAGCACACATATTTCCCACGGCTCAAAATGAATATCCCGAACCTTTGGCAATACATCCACAAAAAAGGCATATCGTTTACATATTCCAATTAATGTTCTCTTTTAACACCTCAACCTGAAATTTAATGAACATAAAAAAATATAACAGCAACTACTGCAATGAAATGCTGTTTTCCGTTCTTCATTCTGTTTTACAGAGGTCGTATTTAATAAACGTTGGTTTTAATTAGTATGTTGGAAAGTGGCTCCGAAATGGCAATAAACGTCTGTAAAATTACGTGTTGGATGTTAGCTGCATGGTAAATTTGAACATTTTGTGCATGTATGCTCGTTATAGTGATTAGAAATCCCTCGTATGTATGCAGTGCGTATCAGTAAAAAGCTGCCTTGCATATGTCGCGTGAAAAAATAGTTTCCCTTACGTGCAGAATGCCTTATATTGATACACAATCCGATGAAAGAAAATCCCTGGCGTACCCTGTAGTATACATGTTGTTAGATAGAGCATGCATGAGTGTCTTCCTTAATATTATTATATCAATTACGAATTTTCCCCTAATTACGCCTGTTTCATACAATTGTGAAATTCTTTCTTCTCTAGAAACTTTTCTGTCTTTTCATCGATTATTTATAAACCATTGAAAATGTATTGAGACTATTATTCCATGCAGTAATCATTCCAGGTTATTATTAATGTGTTCATGGCCTGAGAGGAACCCTTTTTATATGGTTCACATTATTGTGTTGCGTTCACGTGCGTGTGTGGTGTATTACAAAGAATACTCTATGATTAATTGCTTTTGCAATGCATATGGGAATAAAATGACATGCCACGTTCATGAGCCCGTGGAATCTAGCTACTGTAACCCTATGAATAACAAAACGTCCGCTTCATTGTAAATTGATTTATAAAGTCGTATTAAGTCTGATTTATACATTCGCTCAACGTGGTATCTAAATTCAATATCACTGAATAGTAATGCAAAATTGTATTATTTATGTCTGGAAACAAAACTTTTAAATGTAATATTACAATCGTAGAAGCGTTCCAATAAAAAGTGCAAATTTGTACGAGAAAATTTGATTTGTTTCAATCTGTAAATATTCCCGAATTATTCGGAAAACTTCCATAATCTTCACGTAAGTCTTTTTTCTAAAATTACGAATTCCTTGGGTAAAAGAGCTGCACCTCCCTCGTTTTCTCTTCTCGCCGAAAGTTTGAATTGTTGCTCAACATTCAACCGTATATTTACGATTTGAACTACAGATAATTTTAAGTTAACCATAGGATAAATATTATGTTTAAGACAATCTTACATCGCTAGTGACGATTTAATCAAATTATCTGATACGCCCAAACGAGCGTTGCTGTTCACCTTTAGAGATTCGTAGATTCTTATCTCCAAATCTATGTAAAAGTTCATGTAGAATGGTGGTATTCTACAATACCATCTATAAGAAGAAACCATTCAACGGCAGCGCTGAAAGAAGCATTAATTAAATGAATTATTTCTATCTAAATACCTGATTTAGACAGAAATAACTGACGTTTCTTTGGATTATATCATATCAGTTGTTGCAAAACTCTTGGTCTAATAGCTGTCAATACAGTAGATTTCCACAAAAACTATGGAAATGATTAACTGGTAGATTAGACCATTTAAGCCAACGCAAATTAACTTAGTCTTATTTAATCTGTAAGATTTGGCTTGTAGTGAATTGAGAAAGATTTAGTGTAAGATGAGAAGTGCCTCGACATTGGGTCATACTATATTTCGTTTGTATTTTGAATTTTTGTTAATCGTGCGAAGCATCAAACCATGCATCTCCTTTACATGCAAGCTATACATCGTCTTTACATTAGTATTTTCTAACAGCAAAAAAAAGTATTGGTATTCAATTCTTAATCAATCATATTTCTTCAAGAAATTAACAACACAATATGTAACATTATAATAATAGTATTATTATTAGGTCACCCTTTGAGTAGAAGGACTACATTATTTCCTTTTTAATCGATTCCACATCCTGAATTGGCATTATTGCCAAGTGCAATTTAGTTTGTTTTCTTTTTTACTTTCGTAAATGTTTAAATTGTTAATAATGACATCCCTTATTCTTCGGAACACATTCGAATAAAACCGATGCCTTCAGAAACCGTTTGATTGCGCTCCGTTCGCTCCGCCGGAGCGCGCGAGCGCGCGTGTGTGCGTGTGTGTGACGGCGTGCCGTGTGTTGCAGTGCTGAAGAACGAGCTGCAGCTGCACGAGGCGGTCATCAAGAACGACACGGACGCCGTGCGGCGCGTGCTGCGGGAACCGCTCGACGTCAACTCGCGCAACAATGTGCGTGAGCCACCCCACCCCCACCCGCTTTCATTTGTTTCAGGCCGCTCTGTAACGACGAGGTCACCAGCGACCCATGTCGTTTTGCATAGCAATACGAACATACCGAGCGAAGTGGCTCAGGGCGTGGAGCGCTGACTTCGCATTGCGGACGCCCGGCTTCAATCCCCGTGCGCTGGTGATACTGAAATAATTCCAATAAATATTCCCCACAGCCAAAGTCTCCTCTTCGGCTGCAGAAATATACTCCATTCCGGGAGGTCAGCAAAGTCTTACGTAATGGCAACTCCTCTGCGGGTATCAATTTGCTTCGGAAACTTTTCATTTCAAACCGTAGTGTAAGAGATTTTTCATTGTCGCTCTCTATTTCATTCCTCCCCCAGTTCGTTTATTTCCTCGGGGTTAGCTCGCATACCTTTCTATTCTCTTTTAACTGACTACAGTGATTTCTCTTGATCTTAACGTCTGACATTTAATTTATATTCAAACGCAGAGCTTCATTTTTTATTAAGTTCCGTACAATGTTCTAGGCTGACTCAATGGAACTTGATATGGCTATATGAACAAAATCAAAAAAAATAGCGTTTATATTTCATATTTTTAGTATAAACTGTGAGGATAATTCATTTCAAATACTTCACTCCAGTAAAAAATATATTGTTAAGGAACGAATTTAAATGGAGAATAAATCTGAGAATAAATGACATTCTTTTTTGAACACACATTTTGAATGAAAACATTTATACAGCTTGTTTAGTAAAAGAAAAATATAAACGAGCGACAATTGCAGATAAAAGTTACCAGTAATTTTACATTTCACAAACATAAAAGCAATCATATGGTAGTGATACAAATTAGTGTTGATATTGCATTGTTTACTTATCACTAACTTTTTTTCTCCAGCAATGCTCTTGTTTTTACCATGAACAAGCAATAAAAATATCTTACGCAATACTGTTAAAACTGAATTTTCCCAAGCGTGGTATGAAGCAGACTAATCACAAGAAAAGGGACACAATACACTTTAAAACACATTCAGTTCTTAAACATAAACTGTTTATAAATATGTGTAAATAGCTAAGATTAAATTTTTAATACCAATAAATAGTTTATTTTCGTATTCATTGTCATATTTGTAACAATTAGATGTCCCTACAGTTCGAACACGCAAAGACCCTTCAGATATTAATCAGGATTAATTAATTACGAAAGCCAAATTCGGTTCCTGAGCGTAATCAAGGCAAGAAGCATTATCCTCTCCTGCTTTCTGGGCAAGAACCACATCGCCGTTCATTGGATAGAAAATTTCCTCGGATGATCACGTGAAATGGATGACGATAAGAGGTGAATTCTAATGAATTGTATATTGGATTTCAAGTGGTAGACACTTGATGGTACGAAGAGTCCTACTTTCCACTCTCAGACGTCCACATGAAGTAAACGCCCATTCCTAATGCGAGAAAACAAGCTACCTCGTGGAAGCTGTTTCACTTGCGCCACCGAAGCAGATTCTCGTCCGTTTCGAATCAATTTCAAATAAAAGCACTAATGTTTTATCTTTATCGTACTTTAAAATAGCATACAATAATTTCCGATTTGTATCCATTCTTGCTTCCCAATTTAATACTATTTTGCTTCCTGGTCTATCTAGACGTATTATTAGATAAATAATAAAAAATGTCAGAGATATTGGTGGAAATACATGATTTGAAAGAACGTGACAAGGAAAAAATGTTTTCTGAAGTAGTCCGACCATTCCTCGTCATCCACTTGCCTCGGGATATAGTTTTTGTAATACAATTTCTATTGTGTTTTTGCATTGAGCTCAATTAAGGAAACCAACTTTCTTCGTAAAGCTTATGTGTTATGAGTATAATGAGTTCACAGTGACACCAATTTGAGGACTTTTTCTCAAACTTTTTTTTTAACTGCAAAATTGTTAGTTTTTGATCGAACCATATTATTCATTAAAATTTATTTAGTAGCCAGAATTTTATATTGAGAGAATTTAATTATCTTAATCTATCTAATAATGTCTCTTCATTGGGGAAAAATTGAAGGGTATATTCTCATTTCTCCTCCCCCACTTCCCCACACTAATTAAATAATTTTAATTTTCAAAATTTTAAGAAAAATAAATACCATTGTCATTAGAGGATTATCTTCATTTATTTTAAGTACGGGTAATTCTCAAACAAGTCAATTTCTCGTTTTCTCTTACGTGGTCAACCAAATACTTTTTCGCTGAGGGGAAATGATACATAATTTGAACATAAGTGTATTTCATAACCTTTTACAAATTCAAATAACAAGGATGTTGAATATTTCCGTAGAATTCTGTGATCCACTCAGCAAGGTTTGAAACAAAACTACATTACCTTGTTTTCGATATGAAGGCAACTCAGTAATTCTGCAACAATGAGGCAAGGTGTACAAAAAAAAAAGAAATATCTAATAAACGAAACGGGTAATCATAGCATTATAAAATCAATTCAACCCCTTTGAGAGGCAAATATGCCTAGCAAGAAGAAATAAAATGTAAAGAGATCCATTCGTCTATTTCAGTGTTAGTACCCATGAAATAAAATCACGACAAAAGAATTAATTAATATTATTCTTTGGTAATTGTAAGTGAATCCCGGAAACTGAAAGAAAACAAATCTAGAAAATATTTCATGTTCATTTCTTTCATAATTCAACCAGTTTTTTCCTGATTCCACTACAGAACATCATTGATTATTTTGCTAAGTTTGCGTTAACTCGCTGCAAGTCCAAATACATGTATGTCCCACGGCAGTATCCACACGGCCTGCGGAGTTCAGTCTCCAACGCCGGTTACCTCAACTGCGCGACAATGGAACGACGAAGAGAGGAGACACTGGCCGAGCGACGGGGGGGGGGGGGGCAAGGGCGGACCGCCGACGCGGCGAAACTTCATTGGAGGGCACTCGAAAGGGCGCGGCGCCGGCGGCGACGTCAGCGAAACGTCCGCCCTGCGCCCCCCCTCCGTCCATAGCCCTTTCACGCCGCCGCTCACGCAACCACCCGCGCCTCAGCCAGCGCCCACCCCGCCAACCCCACTCCCACGCAACTCTTCATACAGCCACCAGGATAGGGCCGCTGATGTCACTGCAGTGCCTCGAACCGGGAGCTCCTAGGTTCGAGAGACGACGCTGGCAGGATTTTCGACACGAGCTTGTCATCTAAATCGAATTCAGTCGCTGTCTGGAGGAGAATTCTAGCGGCTGGCTGCTCTGATCGGTAGTTTTCCGTGGTTTTTCCGATCAACACCAGATGAATGCCGGAGCAGTACCCTAACAAAGGAACACAGACCGCGCACGAACATTCTATCCTCCCCTTTACACACACACACACACACAACTAACATGCACTACTCATCGACATCGGGAGACCGGTCGGGAACTTAGAGCTTGTCCCAGCTAGTGGTAGATACATGGATGATAGGATGTCCCCACTAACCGATGGGAAGGTCAGCGCCAGATCTCACCACCAGCAAGGCAATATCACTGCCACCTCTCGAGGAAAGAACATGCACTGCACTTACGGATCTCATGACCATAGCTGTTGACGCGCCCGGAATCGCTAATCAATCAATCAATAAACCAAAAACAACGTTTTCCGTCCAAAGCACCTTTCACAAATGCACCACCATCCTCGCTCTCACCACTTCCCACAAACGCGTGTCCCCACTCCCTCCTCGCTCCACTGTTATTCTCTAAATATAATTAATCGATTTGTTCCAAAGTAATAAACATTTTTCTACTCCAATCGTATAATGCTGTCATTTGATGGCAGCAACCCGTTGCATGCAATGATACCCATTACAATAAAGATTTCATAATGATACAGGTTATTGACTATTCTCAGAGAAGTTTACAAACGAAGTATTGACATTTAAATTAAGCACAGAGAATAGTTCTTCCGAATGCACAGTTACATAATGAGCTAGGCATTACACCAATATCCGTCCATATCTACCTCTTATACGCAAAATTCTATTCCAAAATATTAAAGATCCCTTCAGCTATTCACTTTCACGTACGTAAGCAAAATCCTCATCCCAAACGATTAAAAATAAAGCTACCAAGAGAATTTTCGATCCCCCATTGGCATAAACCGACGAGTCTCTTCCCATTATAAACTACTGTATAAAACCACTGTATTGTCTTATATCTAAAACTAAATTTCTCTTCATTCTGTTTGTTCTAGTCTCAAATGATTTTTGAATATAAATAATATTAATGTATTTATATTATGCATCTGTAGAGGGCCAATGTCCAAGGTAGAATAAAAAAATTTTAAAAAAAAGAATAGTTCTAGTGAATGTTTCCTTCAATTGTGCACATTAAAAATGCATTTAATATACTTGACAGTTTTAATTTATTTTATTATAAGTAATTTTTTACGTGGAATATTATTTAAAATAAATTGGATCGTAATTTCACTTTGATTGTTTATGACTAGCGCAGTACTGGTTATTGGAGGGAACCTTTGACTGACGAGATCAGAACGCAAATAATTTTATGTTACATGTTGCTGCCGTGCGGACAATTCTTTAGTTTAAAATGTCTAGTGAATCAGAGGCGAAATGAAATACATGAGAAGAATTAATCAAATGTTAAATTCTAACAAAAACTACGAACATTGTTCCTAAAATTTGAAATAACTCAAACTTTCTGAAAGTTGTCGAGAGCGAAAGTAAATGAAAATGTACCTTAAAATTGCGAACTTTCCTTGTTACACGGAATGAATATTCTGAACTTGTTGGGATCATTAACTAATGAAAAGGCATTGTGATAATGAGAAACGTAAAATTTTTCATTTTTAATGTTTGCAAATTCAAGTTTTTTCTCTTCAATATGTGAATGTTTTTAATTGTTTTTCTTACGAGCTCAGTTATTCGACTGTTTTTTTTCTACTTTGTTAAGAATAGACTAGCTGGTAAAACTATTAAAGAGCATGGCGCACCGTCGAAACCGTTTTAGAATAACACGTCTATTGCAATGAATGGCCATGCAGTAATATATTATGAAATTTAAATGGATTAATATAATTTTTCGATTAAGAAAAAGGAACGCTTAAGTGCGTGGCTACTAGAGTGGTGCCACAAAGCTACTTATTTTTGTTTCCTGCTCTGGTTTTCAAATATTAAAGAAAATTGTGTTTTGTTGTTGCCTTTTAATGAATACAATACTGAATTTATTTCAAACACGTTATTGTGGACTTGTGTTTAGCCGAGTCATATTTTCTGGACAGGACATAATGTTTAGATTTTATATCAACTCGCCAGGCCAGGAAACGGGACAACGTTGCCGACCCCCGTGTTAGCGGATCGGATTAAAGAAGCCTGACCGATTTAGAGTTGTTTGGCGCCACGGGTGACGGCTTGTTCAGTTGCAATCGTCTCCTATATCATTCCAGTAGTGTAGATGAGTTTTATGTCTCTCACACTTCTCAGATGCTTTTCAAAACTAGTAGCGTAATAAATATTATAAAATTTTACTCGTTTCTTTTTTCCACAAGAGGCTTTGCTTTTCTCTCATTAGCGGACTCTAAGCGTTCATTCTCCGCGGTTTTGGTTATCCGCCACCATAGCAACCCTTCCATGTCGCTTTCATTCCCTCTGTATGCACAAATAAACCACAATAACGCGGTATTAAATGTGTATATCAACGTGGGAGGGTCTTCGGCTTATCGCAATATCTACTGAGGAAATAAAATTTAAAAATGAGTGTACAACAAAAAGCACATTTGAGTTGACCAGAAACGTGCGTTCCAAAAACTGAGACGTTGGCCCACAATGGCTTAATAACGACTTGCGGACACCGCGCAGATTTCATTCCATCATATCTCGCAGATCGCGGAACCCGGTCTGTTTTTTTTCTTGTTTTTCCAAGAATTCCTGACGGCAGAGCGGTACGGAATCTCATTTCCTCGCCCGCCGGGGTATGGAGATGAGTTTGGGAAATGACACAAGAAACGCGCTCCGCCCTCTGACTTCCTGAGACCTGTTGCAAAAGTTTTGAGCCGCTCGCTCTCCCAATCTCGTTTAACAAAGACGAAATATAGCGTTTTTGCTCCGCGTGAAATTCGTAAAAAGGGGTTTTTCCAAGTCAGAAGCCAATGGATATTTGCAAACCCTAACGCTGCTTTATAAAACTATAGGGAGCAATTTCATTTATTTGATTTGACATATTTGCTTCCAAAAACAGTCCCAAACAGTTCCAAGTCTGTGGGAGATGGTATAACATAAAATAGTAATGATTGACATTATATACAATTTCAGAAACGAATAAAAAAGTACAATGTGATTGAGGTGGGACACTAATTGTTAATACACTTTCAATTCTCTACAAGTAACTTAATTGCTCGTTTTTACTTCTCCACTAATAAACCAACGGCGCACGACCTTCTGTCGCCAACGACATGGCGAATTGCCAGCCGTGCTCAACTCCAATTGTATTATTGCGCGTTCCAATATTTCCAAAAATATATTCGACGATTTCGTTTGATTGCCAATAATTTACTCCAAAATGATCACAAAACTGAAAAAGAAACATTAAACTTTATGTTATCCTAAAATAAACAGCACATCCTGCTGTCCCATATAACATAAAATCACTAGTCATGTGAGCACCACCGAGCGCAAATAGCCTGGCTGACGCTTCGCGTCGAAATGTGGGTGTATGTGTAAGCGAGTGTTTATGAATTAGTAAATGGAGGGGTTTCAGTCATAGACCACAGAAAATCGATCGATGTGTTGGAAAGGTTGGCATTGGCGGTTTCTCGGATTGACAAGGCCTTCTTTATGTATGTTTTGCATGTCATTCAAACAGCGACGTACTAGTTGTGAAATAAATAGTCTTTTGAAGTTCATAAGTGGACATCTTTCATCACACAATGTACCGCAGTTCTTTTGTATACATCTTTTGACCTCAGAATAGTTCCACCACGTTCTTAGAACAGTACAATTAGAATATACAATGCATACTTTGTTATTAGTCTCGTGACAACCGAATTTTATCAATGTCTCATGCGTTTGTCTCCGTTCCATTATTGGGATCTCTCAGCTTTTCGGTTCCACTCCGATGCCCTATGCTTGCCGAAGGTTTTCTAGGGTCGAGATGAATAATCCGGTCACAGGAATAAATAAATCACGCAAAATTACTTGGTTCTGGGAAGAAAGAATCATCATTCGTAGACTGGTCTCTCACAATTCATGTTTTTTATTAATATATTTGAAAGATTAAGTGCACGCAAGATATCTATGCACAGAAGGGAAAATCTGATAAAAACGTTACAAATCAGATTTCTGGTAATTCACGTGATGTGTACTGCCTTATGCGATTTTAGGTCAGGGCGCCCTAGGCACACGCCTGGCGTATTGTTAGGGTAATTTTCCGGCATTCACCTGGTGTTGACCGGAGAAACCAAGGAAACCGACCGGTCAGAACAGCCAGTCTCTAGAATCCTCTCTGAGACAACGGCTCAATTCGACCTGTAACTGATGTCGAAAATCCTGCCATTGTCAGGGATCTCCCTGGGCTCCTGGGTCCTCCCAGACAGAGGCACTGCAGTCACATCATGGCCTGGACCATCTAAGCCCGTCACACTTGTTTCATGAAACGTGTCATAAAACGTTTTATGTACACTTCATACAGTAGTGCTCAAAAAACCGCATCACCAAAAGAAAATGGGCATATAAAAATCAGACCATGTGAAAGAGGCTTTGTGCAAATTTACGAGAACGCATTGCGGATTTGCGCTGGTGCTGGCAGCGCTGGGGCAGCGATGGCTCGGCGGGCGGGAGATATTGCTGAGGCGAGCGACAAAATGTTCTGCAAACACCAACAAAGCATCGCTGGGCCTATCGCAGCATTCAGGAAGGCATTGCAGTAACTCCCGACCCTTCTGTTGCAGTACGGCAGAGCCCCAATCCACTGGGCGGCCTCCAGAGGAAACACTGACATCCTGGAGATGCTCATCGGCGCAAAAAGCGATATCGAAGCCAAAGATAAGGTGAGTTACTGACCAACGTGATGCTTTTATTTTCTAGAATACTATTTGCGAGGTATACACAACATATTGTAGTGCTGCAGTGGAAAACAGCAATTTTTTTGAAAAGAAAAATGTTGGGTGTCTGATATCATTAAAAAAATAAGTCGGTTTAACGTAAATCGTCTGTCTGTCCGCCTGTGAACCATGATGAGGCTGATGAAGCGTAGTCAGGATTTTGACCACAATTAATATTCCTCAATCTATCTGACTTATGTCGCGGCCTCTTGAATATTAAATGGTTATTTATACTTAGGGAGAACTTAATTTAAAGTCTCAAGGGCATTTCCAATTTGTTTCTTTATTTTGTTTCAGACATTGTAAAGTATACTTATAATACTGCTGTAGGTCCGATTTTCATTGAACTCCTTGCATTATGAAAATTAATTTAATTGAAAGTTGTTTTTTTCGGTGGCTTCCCACAACCACAAAATTTAAGATAAAGTTCTTTTTCTTCATGAAATCTGTTCTTCAAAATTAGATCTGTATATGAGGTCATGTGCCGTTTTTTTTAAAATATGAGTAGTTTTTGCACATTTTTTTCGTGAAATAAAGGTAGGTTTAATAAAAAGATTTTATCAAAATAGCGCAGGTCCGATTCTCTAGTTAGTTTTTTATTATGGTGACTGACATCATAAAGCAAATCCCCCTTAACATCCCTGTACCCGTCTGCTTGGAGCCTTGTCATCGCCTATGTTTTACCATTGGGCGACTGTGTATGACACTCAGAAATTAACTATAGTAGAGTCCCGGAAATCCGATGTGAGAAAATGGCAACATAGTGCTGCAATTGTATCATCATATCGCTTCATCAAGCAGATGCAGTATGCACCCACCGATTTTGCAAGTTGTTTTAAGTGAAACTTACTGCTACATAATCATGTGATGTTCTCCGTAGTTACCAGTGCAATAAACTGTCATTTCGACAACTTGTGTTTCAATAATTAGTTCAGTTCTACAGAAATTATAGAATCCTTTCTTTACACTATAAAAAAGTATTTCACTTATTTTGTTTATTTTTTCTCCATTTCGAATTTTGTTCGTATTATCCGAAATTTCGTATTTTCGGGGTTCAGATTAACGAGGTTCTACTGTATTATTCGCACGGATCATCATCTCCTAAGTCGTTTGCAGTTAGCGCCAGAGGATTGTGGTGCTGTTGATTCATAATGAGAGTAAATAAATCAAATGCTTGTTACATTAACGACATAAATTTAAATATCGAAAATATGTAGTTTTTAGAGCGAAAATTCTACATCTGACACTGCTCATACTGTAAGTGAAATATATTACAATATTTATGGAACTGCGATGAACTTTGAATTATATAGCTGTCAAAAATTACAATGTTTTTTACCTTTTGGTCCACTATATAGGCTACGAGGCGCATTTGTTAAGTAAGTTTCTGTAGAACAACTTCTCAACAAAAAGAAAACACAATTTCCTAGAAAACAGTTTTGTAGCAGATGCACCACATTGCATTATTTTCACAAAAAATATCCACCAGAATTATTTTTTTGTGTCATGGGATCGGCCTTTGAATCCCTAAGCCGCAAAAGTATGACGTCTGGCATACGTACCAGTTCTCGACAACCACCTGCAACTCTGCAGCACTTTGATACTAGTAGTGCTGAGCGGACAGTGATTTCTTGGCATGTAAGAAAAAATGGCAATCGCTGAAGGAGATCGGGATGGTGAAGGCAATCATCAAACCCCTCTCAGCAGAACTACTGCAAAATATCTGTTGTGAGCCGAGCCATATACTGGTTGACGATGGTTGACGAGCCGACCGGTTGACGATGACGGCGAATTCCAGGCGGTAGATTTTTACGACACTGGGATGCAAATATGATTCGACAAATGTCTCGACTGGTGGTGCTGGTGTGGAGAAATGTGCCGTATCTTCCACAATATATTTGTTTTCATGAAATTGTCTTTTTTTGTTGACGACCAAGGAAAACTCTCTTGCTGGATGTGTTTCGTATATTCAAATGCAGTAATGCGAACTGGCTGGGCGCTGTTGCAGTACGGCATGCGGCCCATCCTGATGGCCGCGTGGCACGGCCACAAGGACGCCGTGCAGATGCTCATCAACTGCGGGGCCAGCGTCGTCGCCGTCAACAAGGTGAGCGCCTCGCGCCCACGACACGTAAAAAATGTGTTCCCTGGCATGAGAGCGTAGGCTTCCGCGGCCGGAGTCAGTATTTACTAGGCTGTCCGGGTGACGCCGCGTCCATGGCGAAGGTGCCGACGTTTCGGTCGCCATTCTGCGACTTTCCGGCAATACGCCCTGAGGAAGGTCGCAGAATGGCGACCGAAACGTCGGCACCTTCGCCATGGACGCGGCGTCACCCGGACAGCCTAGTAAATACTGCTCCCTCGCATCTCGGACTGATGTCCCGAGAACTCGCAGTACTGTCCTGACAATGGGCGGGGAACAAAATGGGAAGATGCGCACGGTCAGTCGTTAGCTTTTAACCGCTCCGACATTAACCAAGAATTTATAGGGATAAAAACCCAATCAGAGCATCCAATCAAGCAAAATTTCTTTTCAGGCAAAGGCGGCTTCCCTCTATTTGAAGTAAATGTGTGAGCTCTATCAAGAACCAAAAGCATATTCATTGAAGCAATGTATTCAGAGGCGGTAATTTTTTAACAATAGGAAATATATGTTGAGAAATTTGTAATGCTACAAAAATCCATCTCGAGTAAAGTGAACGTTTGCGGATCACTAATATTGAATACGATTTTCTAGGTCCGGGGCGAAAACGTCGGTCCAGAGCAAGTCTTCTCGTTTCTTGTCGGAGTTCCTCTGTAGCGGCAACTTCTCTCGCGCGAGCCTTTTCACTTCCGCGCTTCTCCGTTGCGAATATATTTCACTGCATACATCACGATTACAGAAACGAACACAATCGTGTTGGTTGACATGGTCTCTATATTTTAAGTTCTGCAATATTTGGTGTCTAGCTTGTGAAGATTTATATGGTAGCGGTAAATAGAGAAATTAATGTTCAAAAGGTTTTGTCGTATTGTTAATACGATAAAAAATTGTTGAACACCAGGGAAATACTTAGATTCCGGGATGATGAAAGATATGAATTCAGAATTTGTAAGTGGATTGTCGGGTATATGCAACAAATAAGGTCAAATGTACGCATTGAAATGTATGGAAATAGTAGGAATACTGGATAATCAACAATAACAGTTCATTAAGCTTTCAGCTTACAAAAATCCCACAATCCAAATCGTTCAGTAAACAATACTGGAGTAGTCAACTCGCCAGAAAGCAAATACCAAGTCAGTCGTTCGTCATTTTACCAGTAGATCGACAAGTTCGGAGCCTAGTTCCAGAATTTCAAATTCCTCGCCAACAATTCCAACAGAATAACCAAAGCACTTGCGCAGTCGGCGTAAAGGAATTCACAACAATAACTTTAACGCGCTCAAGCAGAGTCCAAATCCAATCTACTTTCCCGAACGCCAGGCCGCCCGTTATATACGCGTCGCCGCTGCTGGCCCGGATTCGCTCCGACGGCTAGCTGATTCGTGGAGCGAATATTTCTTCGCCGACCTGCAGGCTACAATACAGAGCGGGAACCGTCTTGCGCGTGAAAGCTAGCTGTGCACACCGCGTATGAAGATGTTAAAAAATGGTCACGCTTGTGAGCAGTAACAAGCCGTTTGGTGAAGAGAGTTCTGAAAGAAATGTTTGAAATATTTACAGAATATGACTTATAATATAATTGTTATAATTTCATGTAATTGTTACGAACAATATAAAAAATATGTGCTATGTTTTAGTAGCACTAGTTTGAAAGTGATATAACTTCAATACACTAAAGGAAATGATTTGCAACCCATTACACATATGCCACAGATATGTTCGAATATTGAACTTAGTAATACCATACATATACTAAATAATTATTTAATTTAATCATAAATCGGTAAAAATAATTTACATCTTCAGATTAAAAGTGACCGAGATGCCGTATAAAGTATACTCGCTACATTATTTTCCTGTATATTGTTTAAAACCTATACTCCATTATTTCCTCTGTATTGATTTCTGACTATTATCTACGTTTTAAGCTTTCTCTACAATTGTCGCATTATCGACTGGACATTCTCTAAAACCGCTCACCTGTGACGTCAAGCGTCGAAAACCGCATGCAATTTTGAAAGCTCACAAAAAAGTATAAAACTACAGGACGGTGCAATGTGAATATTACAGACTTACGAATAATGTAAACGATTACTGTCATGTGCAGCTACGCGTAGCTGAGAGAATTTAGGGAATGAATGTAATCTAATTATATTATCTTTATTGTTTTTATGAGCTTTAAAAGCTTTTTTCTAGTCAAACTCGAAGTAAATTTCAGTATTTTATAACCAGTTAACACATGAAATATGTTTTCAAAGTCAACACGGTAAAATGTGTAGCTCATATAACTAAAAAGAGAATGTGCTGAAGATGAAATCAATATAAAATTAATAAATAAAAATACTAAAATTAATAAACGAAACAATAATATAGTAACACGTAGAAGAAGCTTTTTTCACCTATGAGCTCTCAGCCTTTCGACATGTATATAGAAAGTCTTAGCACCGTGGGGCGCGTCAATTTTTTTCACTGCCGGTAATTGGCAAAAACAGAATATCACACGCGACTTACACTGTGACGCAGCTTCGGGTGTTCAAAGGCAATTTTGAATTATCTGAATCTCTACTTTGAATGGTGCTTTACAGTGACATTTACCCACTCCCAATTTTCTGTATTTACCCTAATGTAGCACCTAATCAATGAATGCGCCAAGAAGCTACACACGTCAACTCCCTAAACTCACGCGCAAGTTTTGCCGCAACGAGAGAAAAGAAAGTTTTTGCAAGGCGAAACGTTGCAGCAATCGACACCACTATCGATCTTCTACGCATGTTTCTGTAAATTAAAAAGAAATGCTTGC